AAACGCATTGATGGCTGCTACACTAGCATGCTAAGGATGGCACTAAATGTGGATTGGAACCAGCGCAAAACAAACAAAGAAGTCTATGGCAACCTACCGAGAGCAACCATGAAGATCCAAGAGCGTAGGATGCGACTAGCAGGCCATATCCACCGGCACCCAGAATTAGTCGCAAACCGCTTGCTACTCTGGGAACCAGCTCATGGGGTGCAGAGTAGGGGAAGACCAGCCATGACTTATGTTGATAGCATACGAGCTGACACGGGTCTCAACGACACTGGGCAGACTTATGGCGGATAGAGTTCTATGGAGACAGCGCATCAATACTCGGACGCTGAAGCCGCCTTAAGTCAGTCAAGTGTAAGTAAGTCATTATTGAATATAGTTTAGTTTAAGTTATCTTCAAAAAGCTAAACGTGTGTTTCCTTGTCTACATTATAACAAACAAAATTCAGTATTCATTCAGTATTCATTCAGTATTCATTCAGTATTCATTCAGTATTCATTCAGTATTAATTTAGTATTCATTCAGTATTCATTCAGTATTCATTCAGTATTCATTCAGTATTCATTCAGTATTCATTCAGTATTCATTCAGTTTTCATTCAGTTTTCATTCAGTATTCATTCAGTATTCATTCAGTATTCATTCAGTATTCATTCAGTATTCATTCAGTATTCATTCAGTATTCATTCAGTATCCATTCAGTATTCATTCAGTAACCATTCAGTATTCATTCAGTATTCATTCAGTATTCATTCAGTATTCATTCAGTATTCATTTAGTATTCATTCAGTATCCATTAAGTTCATTCAGTATCCATTCAGCATTCATTCGGTATTCATTCATCATTCATTCGGTATTCATTCAGTATTCATTCAGTATTCATTCGGTATTCATTCATCATTCATTCGGTATTCATTCAGTATTCATTCGGTATTCATTCAGTATTCATTCAGTATTCATTCAATATTCATTCAGTATCCATTCAGTATCCATTCAGTATTCATTCAGTATTCATTCAGTATTCATTCACTATTGTTTCACTATTCATTCACTATTCATTCAGTATTCATTCAGTATTCATTATTCATTCAGTATTCAGTATTCAGTATTCAGTATTCAGTATTCAGTATTCAGTATTCAGTATTCAGTATTCAGTATTCAGTATTCAGTATTCAGTATTCAGTAATCAGTATTCAGTAATCAGTATTCAGTATTCAGTATTCAGTATTCAGTATTCAGTATTCAGTATGCAGTATTCAGTAATCAGTATTCAGTATTCAGTATTCAGTATTCAGTATTCAGTATTCAGTATTCAGTATTCAGTATTCAGTATTCAGTATTCAGTATTCAGTATTCAGTATTCAGTATTCAGTATTCAGTATTCAGTATTCAGTATTCAGTATTCAGTATTCAGTATTCAGTATTCAGTATTCAGTATTCAGTATTCAGTATTCAGTATTCAGTATTCAGTATTCAGTATTCAGTATTCAGTATTCAGTATTCAGTATTCAGTATTCAGTATTCAGTATTCAGTATTCAGTATTCGGTAGTCGGTGTTCAGTATTCAGTATTCAGTATTCAGTATTCAGTATTCAGTATTCAGTATTCAGTATTCAGTATTCAGTATTCAGTATTCAGTATTCAGTATTCAGTATTCAGTATTCAGTATTTAGTATTTAGTTTGATTCACGATGTCAATCCTTCGCAGCTTGGTAAGGCCTATTGGTGCATTTGCCGATTATAATATCTTGTCACGATCCTATTTGACGGATGTTACCTGTTTAAATTTATTTGAAGTAGCGCGGGACGCTTTTTTCTCGAAATATAATTGGCTCGATGGCAATAAATGCTACGAGGTAGCGCGCCCCGGGCCAAATCATTAACAATGGTCAAAGAACTTTGCCAACACAAAAGGGGCGAGCGTGCTAAATCACTTTACAGTCGATCTTCGAGATTGTTCTGAAAGGGCCCCCGACAGTTGAAACCAATTTCAATCGATGTATTTTCGAACGCTGATTCCGAATCACCCTCCGAATCACCCCCCCCCCCCCCCCCCCCCATACCATGACATAGGGTTAAAATGCTCCCCTGACGAGATATTGGCGAAAAAATTGTTTCGATCACGTGATATGACCGTATAAGGAAGTTAGTCTAATATCTAGTTAGGGTTAGGGTTTCAGCATATGCTTTTGTTAAGGATTGGGTTAGGGTTAGGGTTGGAATCAGATTAGAGGGTTAGGGTTTCGAATAGTCGTTCAGGACCAGCTAGAAAAGGGGTTGAAAAAGTCACGTGACAGTCGAGTGTAGAGTGATTAATCATCATCCCAAAAGGGGCCCTTTAGATGGGGTCTTAAAAACTCGATCTTGAATATTCACCCTCAAGTCGACTTTTAAAGCTTCATTATATACTTTTCCCCTCCAAATATTCCTTTAACCAGAGCCCTAGCCTTTTCGCTTGAAGTAGCGCGCGACCGCCGTATGTAAATTAAATTAATTTTTAACTTGGTTGTTCAGGCGAATAGATTTTAGATAATTTTAAAACTTTAGTAAATATATTTTTGAGATGTTTGTGTCATTATATTTTGATTTGATTTGATGATTTGATGATTTGATGATTTGATGATTTGATGATTTGATGATTTGATGATTTGATGATTTGATGATTTGATGATTTGATGATTTGATGATTTGATGATTTGATGATTTGATGATTTGATGATTTGATGATTTGATGATTTGATGATTTGATGATTTGATGATTTGATGATTTGATGATTTGATGATTTGATGATTTGATGATTTGATGATTTGATGATTTGATGATTTGATGATTTGATGATTTGATGATTTGATGATTTGATGATTTGATGATTTGATGATTTGATGATTTGATGATTTGATGATTTGATGATTTGATGATTTGATGATTTGATGATTTGATGATTTGATGATTTGATGATTTGATGATTTGATGATTTGATGATTTGATGATTTGATGATTTGATGATTTGATGATTTGATGATTTGATGATTTGATGATTTGATGATTTGATGATTTGATGATTTGATGATTTGATGATTTGATGATTTGATGATTTGATGATTTGATGATTTGATGATTTGATGATTTGATGATTTGATGATTTGATGATTTGATGATTTGATGATTTGATGATTTGATGATTTGATGATTTGATGATTTGATGATTTGATGATTTGATGATTTGATGATTTGATGATTTGATGATTTGATGATTTGATGATTTGATGATTTGATGATTTGATGATTTGATGATTTGATGATTTGATGATTTGATGATTTGATGATTTGATGATTTGATGATTTGATGATTTGATGATTTGATGATTTGATGATTTGATGATTTGATGATTTGATGATTTGATGATTTGATGATTTGATGATTTGATGATTTGATGATTTGATGATTTGATGATTTGATGATTTGATGATTTGATGATTTGATGATTTGATGATTTGATGATTTGATGATTTGATGATTTGATGATTTGATGATTTGATGATTTGATGATTTGATGATTTGATGATTTGATTAGAAAGCGGCAAAAGATTTTACTTGTGAATCAGGCGCGTCACGTAGTACGCGTTGACTCAGCTAGCTACTAGGTACGTGAACTCAAAATAAACGTTATACCGAATATCCCCTTGACCATTGTTAATGATTTGGCCCGGCGCGCGCTACTTCGTAGCACTTGCCATCAAGAAGAAAGCGGCGCACGCTACTTCGAAGAAATTTAGACGAGTAACATCCGTCAAATATCCCCAAACTTCCTTTTCATTTCAAGCCACCTCCTTGTGTTTTTTAACTTTGAACTCTCGGCTTTAGCTCTCTCGCCCAAAAATTCGCATCGATGAGTAGCACGAGTCAAACTCGGCGCACGTCTTGTGGTTATAAATTATCAATTATAAATATATATTAGTACAATACTTGTTTCCAAAGTTTAATAGTATCTGCAACAACAATTATGAATGAAAATGTCAACCCTCCTAAATTTCATTTAACCTGTAATTAACCATGTGCTTTCCTGCCACTGCGGGCGCGTATGTTTCACAAGTACAAATTAACAGCGGGAAGTGGGCGCGCGCCTATGGATAGAAAAACTTCCAGATCGTTGGTCTCCAACCATTTGCGAAGCAATTCACAATTGTAGGTTTAAAACCTACCAGGACGCGTACCATTGAAACAAGTATTTTATGAGTATCACCCGTTACGAAGAAAGAATGCTAGTTTGCGCGGCGCGTCGAGGTAGGTATTCACCTAACCATGTGCTTTCGCGCCACTTCGGGCGTGCTTGTTTCACAAGTCAAGAAAAGCACCTATCCACGAACCCCGATGGGAAGGTTCGTGCGCGCGTGCGCAGTGCTGACAACAGCGTCTATGTAGCGCAGGTAGTCTTGGCACTTCTCCATCCAGTATGCAGTAACCACTTTTCAGGTTTCTATACACAGGAGGAGCTAAGTCACTCCTGCGCGCAGTGTTGTGACCTCCCTTCGTCGTATTTTACACATATTTGGATGTTGGCAATTTATTCCATCGATAATTTTAAAGTTTTAACATTTTTATATTAAATTCTTTTTTAATTTAGTTCTAAAACGATTATGCTTGCTTTCTGTGAAAATTTAATGTACTTTCGTAAAATAATTTTGATGTGGCAGCGATTTGAAAAGGAAATTAGTTAAAAATAATACAAAAAAATTGGACATTTTTTGATATTAAAACATGAATAACTTGGGCTGTGTTGACAGTAGAAAAATTTATTAACCTCTATCCGACAGCTTTAAAATTTTTCTACGCGCCGCGCATTGCTCTATCCAGAGCCCTTGCGCTTGCAGTAGCGCGCGCCCGCCTCACGGCTTTTTTCTTGACTTGTGAAACAAGCGCGCCCGCAGTGGCGCGAAAGCACATGGTTAGGTGAACGCCGCGCAAATCCACGCGCGCATTTTAGCGTGTCAAAATCGTTTAAAACTAGAATTAGTTGATGAAGGAGCATAATGCAGATCATACGTTGTACGTGTGGCTTGAACATTATGATTTCGCGCCATTTCTTGTTTCTGCACTCGCTTTGAACTTTCATGGCTTTAACAGCAGTTATCGACTGACGACTTTGCTGTATTACATAGTGTACTTGGTACATAATTGATCAACGATAATAGGAGGAACCCCTGCAAGCTTTAAAGGGCTCGTGTTACTTTAACATCACTTTTGAATTTCACGAAAGCAGATAAAAGGTAGGTTTTCGTTGAATCAAAGTAAGCTAATATCAATTAGAACGAGTATAATTGTGTTACTTTAATACATCGCTTGGTACTGTATTTTATAGTTAACTAACGACATTCTCGCTTTAGGTTATTTTATATAAAACACTTTTATCATTGTTGATTGTGACTTGTCCAATCATTGCACTAGTTTATTACAAAGATTATCAAAATCTTGCGGTAAAATTATTATACAAGCACCCATAAATGACAAAAGTCATTTAATTTCAACAGTCCTCATTGCTTTTGTGATTTCCTGCAGCTCTTACTACTGGGCAGCTCTTACTACTGGGCAGGTCGCCCCGTGGTGGTTCATGGAGGCGTCTCGAAAAAAAACTGACTGAACTATAATCTACATATGATAAGTGCTTATTAACCCTCTGCTTTAATTCAAACCTTTTATAGAATCTACATATGAACTTACAATGTTTTGCAGTTTTAGTGACGTTGCAGAAACTCCGGAATACTGTGGATTGGGAGGAGGAGAAAGTGATAATTCTGTTATATGGCCTGTTTCTAGGACACGATAAACTTCCTAATAAGGTATTTTTTTCAGGATACGATAAACTTCTTAATAAGGTATGATCTGTAGCTAGGACACGATTAACTTCCTAATACAGTATGTGTAGATGATAACCTCCCTTCCTCTTCTAGATCAGATGGCTAAGTTACGGTGCAAAGACGGGTAGCTTGAGACTACCCGTTGTTACCTATAATCTAACTCACTCTTTCCACATACGCGGCTAACCTGTTCCCGATCAATATTCAGGTAGTGGAGAACTTAGAGTTAGATTATTTATTCCGCTTTTTGATTTTCCCCAGTCTTCATGCTAGATTCCCGTTCATTTTAGAACCTCATTTAATCAGTCGGCCTTACTAAAGAACCTCTCACCCTAATAAGAACACGTAACTTGAAGTCTGATCGACTACATAGCTTTCGCTACAGCACTAACACGTGCATTTACAGAGGAGCAAAAGTTTGCGGAGGCATCCTAGAACGGTACATATTTTAACATATCATGCACAGGTGCCATTCTGTTTGTTTGGTTCACAGCTATTTCCTACTCCTAGACTCCGTGTTCGGACTTTTGATTTCTGTACCAGTTTATCGTTAACTTAGAGTTAGATTATTTATTCCGCGTTTTGATTTTCCCCACTCTCCATGCTAGATTCCCGTTCATTTTAGAGCCTCATTTAATCAGTCGGCCTTACTAAAGAACCTCTCACCCTCTTAAGAACACGTAACTTTAAGTCTGATCAACTACATAGCTTTCGCTACAGCACTAACACGTGCATTTACAGAGGAGCAAAAGTTTGCGGAGGCATCCTAGAACGGTACATATTTTAATATATCATGCACGGGTGCCATTCTGTTTGTTAGGTTCACAGCTATTTCCTACTCCTAGACTCCGTGTTCGGACTTTTGATTTCTGTACCAGTTTATCGTTAACTTAGAGTTAGATTATTTATTCCGCTTTTTGATTTTCCCCACTCTCCATGCTATTATTGTTAGATTCCCGTTCATTTTAGAGCCTCATTTAATCAGTCGGCCTTACTAAAGAACCTCTCACCCTAATAAGAACACGTAACTTGAAGTCTGATCGACTACATAGCTTTCGCTACAGCACTAACACGTGCATTTACAGAGGAGCAAAAGTTTGTGGAGGCATCCTAGAACGGTACATATTTTAACATATCATGCACGGGTGCTATTCTGTTTGTTTGGTTCACAGCTATTTCCTACTCCTAGACTCCGTGTTCGGACTTTTGATTTCTGTACCAGTTTATCGTTAACTTAGAGTTAGATTATTATTCCGCGTTTTGATTTTCCCCACTCTCCATGCTATTATTGCTAGATTCCTGTTCATTTCAGAGCCTCATTTAATCATTCGGCCTTACTAAAGAACCTCTCACCCTCTTAAGAACACGTAACTTTAAGTCTGATCAACTATATAGCTTTCGCTACAGCACTAACACGTGCATTTACAGAGGAGCAAAAGTTTGCGGAGGCATCCTAGAACGGTACATATTTTAATATATCATGCACGGGTGCCATTCTGTTTGTTTGGTTCACAGCTATTTCCTACTCCTAGACTCCGTGTTCGGACTTTTGATTTCTGTACCAGTTTATCGTTAACTTAGAGTTAGATTATTATTCCGCGTTTTGATTTTCCCCACTCTCCATGCTATTATTGCTAGATTCCCGTTCATTTTAGAGCCTCAATTAATCAGTCGGCCTTACTAAAGAACCTCTCACCCTAATAAGAACACGTAACTTGAAGTCTGATCAACTACATAGCTTTCGCTACAGCACTAACACGTGCATTTACAGAGGAGCAAAAGTTTGCGGAGGCATCCTAGAACGGTACATATTTTGATATATCATGCACGGGTGCTATTCTGTTTGTTTGGTTCACAGCTATTTCCTACTCCTAGACTTTTGATTTCTGTACCAGTTTATCGTTAACTTAGAGTTAGATTATTATTCCGCGTTTTGATTTTCCCCACTCTCCATGCTATTATTGCTAGATTCCTGTTCATTTCAGAGCCTCATTTAATCAGTCGGCCTTACTAAAGAACCTCTCACCCTCTTAAGAACACGTAACTTTAAGTCTGATCAACTACATAGCTTTCGCATACCGTTTCGTATCACGTATTTATCATCTCTCCTTCTTCAGAGACTGGCTTTATTTCAACATACCGTATCGTATCACGTTTTTATCGTCTCTCCTTCTTCAGAGACAGGCTTTCTTTCAGCATGGTTACCCTAACCCAGAGACTTGATGGTATCAGGGTTCTCGATGTTCTGAGTAATGAATTTAGTTTTTCCCTTCATTCATTCTAAGTCCCACTGTGGCAGCAACCCTTTCTATCTCTTGCATCAGCGCAGTGGCGTAACGAAAGGCCCTGCTGACCCCGCTGTGCAGGGGGGCGCCGTCTTAGGGGGCGCCAAATCGTCGTTTGAATGTGGGACAATTTCGAAAACTTAACTAAAGTACTAGCAAAACTGCGTGTTTTGCTCTAGATACACACTTTTTTAGAGATTTTACCGGCGTATTCTCTAAAATCACCTAATTTGTTCAATTTTAGGGATGGGCACCAAAAGGGGAGGGGCGCCAACAGGGGGGGCGCTTTTTTCGGCAGGGGGCGCCAACAGGCAACGTTACGCCACTGCATCAGCGTCTCTGTCTCCTTTTCAGTATCTGCTATCAGAGCAATGTCATCCACAAAACCAGTGACCGATATCTTCTCCACCTTGACTCTCCTACTCCTATAAGGCTTAATGGTAAATCCTATTTCAGGGTGCTTGCTTAAGGCTTGTCTCATGCAATAGTCTAGGGCTATTATAATGAACAGGTATGGTGCTAACATCTGCAAGATCTTAAGGAGAGAGTGGCGTGACACACCCTCTGTAATCAATAAAATTTTGCAAAACTTTCAGAAATACTAAGTTTGACCCAGATTTAAAGGTCGCTAGACTGAATGTAATATTTCAGTTAACAACTCTACCTCGATTCGATGCAGTGCACAGTGGGAGAGGTTGAAGTTGACGTTCAAGCAGTCACCCTGCCGAACAAGAAATCTTTCAGGCCAAGAGGCTAGGTGACTAGAAACTCAATCACTATATCTGTGAAACTTGTCGGGAGCACTGTTATGTGAGTTATTTTACCTTCTAAATTCCAATGAGCATGAAAATTACCCAGGTTCATGGAATGCACGAAAATGAACAAAAATTAATATTCTCCTAAAACTAAAAGTGCTCAGAACGGTTTAAAACTGGCCGGAAAGCGTTTAGATTGGTCCTAGGACCACTCAAACCAAGTTTGGGAATCACTGCATGTCTACAACCGATGTAACCAATGTTCCAAAATGTTCCAATTTTGTCCCAATAACTCGTTCACCAGCCTACCTCCGTTCACCAGCATGCGCTGTGACCATCATGGTCACGGCGCAAGATGCGCGCAGTTTAAAATTGCGGGAACACATTTTAATTGCCATTGTACATTATAGTACATAGTGGACAGTGGAGTGTGTGGTCTGATACTTGATAGTAGACAGAGGTTATATTTGAAACATTCCCGGTGCCTTCAACTGTTCTTTACTGTGCATGCACTGACTATTTGATTGCTTAAACGAATAGGCGAGCCTTCAAAAAACATTAGTTTCAATGTTTTCATAGTTTTATGATGCAAATATAATTTTTCCATTTACATAACTGATAATACCCCCAATATCTTTTCAGGTGTGGAGGTCGGACCGAAACTGTAATCAGACACTAAACATTAACGAGGACCAATTATTCTACTCCTTCAATGATGAATAAAGATCGCTGATTGCTTTTACTAATGTATAATGTTAAAATGAAAGAGAAACTATTGAGACGAAAGAGAAAAAGGCACTCATTTATTTATAGTTTTTTACCTGAGGACCCCAGGCTATTATGTTCATTAATATAGATTTGGCGGAATGACAGGCTGAGCGCGGCCCAGTAAATAGTTTTATGTCTTAACAATGATATTCGAAAGCTAATTTTAAAAACTGGCTCTGAATCCTTGCTAAATGATTTGGGAAGGTGTAAGGGCTTAATATGCCTGTAGACATCATTTTCAGTGGGTTTTATGAAGTTTATGATTAGAGTATATTTTGGGACTGAAATAAGCGCAAGACCTTCGACGTTTCTATTGCTACTGTTTTTTTAATTTAGCAAATATACAAACAAATTTTATACAGTCGTAAAGATAAAATATTTAGTTATCGGATAGAGACTTTAAAATTAAGTATTACAATAACCAAGCTAAAATATTCAATGTTAAACTCAAAAATTTTCACGCGTTTATGAAGAAATATTTAGTTCTGCGCGTAGTTTTTTGGTCACATCTACGGCAAATTGTCGCCAATTTTGTTCATAATTTCAAAATGTTATTTAGTAAACAAATTACTTTCGGACTACATCCATATTGTTTATTCAAATCTAAAAGAAACAACATTTATTTGACTTCAAAATTGTTCAATCTGAATGCGAGCTAATTACGACGAAGGGAGGTCACAACACTGCGCGCAGGAGTGTAAGTGCAAAGAAACTGCCACTAACTGCTACTAACTGCCACTAACTGCCACAAACTGCCACTAACTGCTACTAACTTACTGGGCCGCGCTCAGCCTGTCATTCCGCCAAATCTATATTCGGGCTGAGTGATTTACGACCTCCATCGCCTCAGAAAAAATGGCAGTACGCTCATTGGAAGTTGATGTGCGCGTGACCAGCATTCACGTGATCATTTAGAACCAATTGGGGCCTCAGAAAAGATACGTGCACGCAAACTGCCAATTGGAGAAAAGTAACGTATTAGCTAGAGGAGCCGCGCGCTGAGTTAGATTGTAAAATTTGATTATTGGATTGTAAAATCGAGCGATATGAGTGTCATCAGTGATGTGCTGCTCACTGCACCTCGTGTTGTCACACTGCACAGTTACATCGGTACCTCCTTCATGTTTATGTTGTTCCTGTAGTTAAAATATATTTTGATGACCTTTTCTTGCTCGTACGACATTTTTAAAAAATCGTCCAGTTGTCTACACTTGTTTATATTTAGCTGCCCGACATTTACTTCGTTTAAAGACCCTAGCGAAAGATGTTAGCTTTACTTAATATCAAAGTAACATGGTCCTGTCATGACTATCAATCTGATGAGGGATGGTTTAGTTTGTCAATCAGTTTGCAGTTATATCTGAAGATTTTCTTTTATATACTCATGCTATGCATTTGAGTTAAATTTCCGAACTAAGGTCGTGTTACTTAAATCCAAATCAAGAGGTTCAGGGTACTAGAAGTTATATCTGAAGATTTTCTTTTATATACTCATGCTATGCATTTGAGTTAAATTTCCGAACTAAGGTCGTGTTACTTAAATCCAAATCAAGAGGTTCAGGGTACTAGAAGGAACAAAATATGTCAAATTGATGTTGACCATTATACTGTCTGTTTGTTATAGTTTTTATTTCTTTCGGACTGCCTGTTCGGGCCCGGCTACTTTTTGTCGTTTTCAAAGAATGCCTGTGATCGAAAGAAATCTCTTAGATGTGATCTATAGATTAGTTCTGCCCTGCACCTTTTTCCTTTACAGTTAGTGTCAAAATTCTGAATTGGATCGTAGAAAAACACTTTAATGGTCTGATATTCATACTGTACAATCTTTGATGATGGATTAAGATATTTAATCCTAGTTATTACTTATTTAATAGATTGCATTGTGATGGAAATCATGTGTTCTCGTACTCTATATTAGTCACTTTGTCCTTAATCCTAGATGTTGTAAAATATTTAGTTTGTTTTAACATTTTTGCAAGAATAGATTAGTCTCCCTGAATTGAAATCGGGAGTTAATCTATATACATTATCCTTTATTGTGAAATGCTTTGAGAGCGTCATAATTTGTTGTGTCTGATCTCACATATCAGTAGTGTGGATCAAACCAAACGTTTGATTTGTTTCTGTTAGTATCTGTGCATTGTTTAACCACAGGATACTTTTTTTCCCAAATTTTACAGTCATCCTCCCAGACAATTACATTCTATATTATGTTATCTTTTACAGAGTATTGTATAGCTCATCTAAATGGGCCAAGTTGTGTAAAAATTTCAAATTTAATAAATAACATTTTCTAATTGATGTATAGCCAAGACGAGTTCGTTAGTGTTCTCCTTGGTAATTTCATCTTAAATTCCTGTTTAATTCCTGTTTAATTCCTGTTTAATTCCTCTTTAATTCCTCTTTAATTCCTCTTTAATTCCGCGTTTTATTGTCTAATGTCTCTTGACCCCACCTTAAAGAAACACCGGTTACTGCTAGTGTTAGTAATTTCACACAATGGGAGTCAAGAGGCTTATTTCATCAACCATCTAGTCTGTTAGCACTTGTTTTGGTCAACGGAACAACACAAGTGAAATATGATTCTTTGTTTCTGTTATCAGTGCTTGCTTTTACCTGAGGACCCCAGGCTATTATGTTCATTAATAGAGATTAGGCGGAATGACAGGCTGAGCGCGGCCCAGTTAGTGCGATTCTTTCAATTTTGCCTAGGTCTAACTTCCATATCAGTTCAGATCGCCTTTGTGTGTTGTGCACTTGTGCCGTTCTTTTATGATATTCAACGATCATTCTGTGGTCTATATAAGTTCATAATTCGTTCTTTATCTATCCGTCTGCCAATCAAATATTTTTGTAGTTTGTACAGTGTTGGTGGACAAGTTTTTAGCGTAGGTGTAAAATGATTTGAACGTTCAATATATCTGTTATTGCATCCGGATCACGTATACTTTCAACTTTTACTTTTATGACGAAGCCTCTTGTAGTGAAGGTTTGATCTCAGAGTCAACTAAACCATAAACAGTCTTCTAAGAATAATTAGTTAAAATATAGCTTCACTCATTTGTACTGGTTCCGGCTATCTCGTGTGTTTTAAGTTTCAAATCCCCGTGTTCTGTTCTCAGGAAGCTGCCGTTAAATATTTTGTCTCGGAATTTAATAAACTTCATCTTTCAGTCGTACAATCCACAATATATTTCGATAGTGATACTGACTCTGAGATATATGTAAGAACCCCCGGATCTGACGTTATCCAAGACCGGACCTTACCCAGATAGTTCCTCCCTGGACCAGCGTACATCGGTTGTCATGGTAACATCGGTTGCCATGGTTACAGACACCCGACCCGACGGCCGAACCAGCCAAGAGCTGAAGTGTCAATAATTAGGACGGGCACTGAACTCCCCAAGATTCACCGCCAATTGGGTGTTAAGATACCACAATGGTAATTGGTCTGATAACGAACCAAGCGCGGCCAGCCTCGGTAGGTTACACAGAAGTGCCGCCGAGACTGTCGGTCTCAAGCCACCGCTAGCGACCTGTGAACCACGTGTCACGTTGCGTTACTTCTCTTGGACCGATCCAGAATACGTTACGCTTTTCCGCTCGTGACTTAAGATGGAAGTATCCGGAAGGACTTGACCACCTTGATGAACTCTGCCGATCTCTCTGGACCTCACTCTCGAGCGGCTGATGATGATACGCCACTGTCGCAGTACTTCCCGGAGTAGCCACCACGTCGAACCTTGTCGGATTCTACGCCTCCAAGCTTCACCAGAGATCTAACGACCACCGGAGTGAGTACTCCTAGAAGGCTTTAGGATTAGAACTTAAGTTAAATTATTATGACGATATTACGATTATATATATCCATTGCTTGGTATAATTACCTTGATGTCAGAAGCTATATTCTGGCCCCCTAAATAGGCGTACCTTACTGGTGTTATTATATAAATCAGTGACAACAAGGGTCACCAGCCAGGAGCAATCCTGTGCTGCAAATTGTCATTGAAATTACGTTAAAATAACAACACTACTAATACGGAATGATGCCGTGTCTCTCGGAGGCTTTCGAGTGCCACTAAATTAGTGGAACGTTACGAACCCGAGACCCTGGTGGAACCTGAAGGAGGACATGATGCAGGTAAGTATTGACCCGCTTGCCCGGGCTATCCAGGTTTGATCATGTTTGGGAGCTATAGGAAAGCTTCTATGGAGCCTTAAATAAACTCTCCGCCCTAGGTTGTTTGA